TTTCGATACAGTGACTCAGTATATTCCTTCCATCTTCTTTTAATACTTCCTGGATCATTTAACATTCTGCCGAAAGCATCCTTGATTATAGCAACTCGGGGTGTGAATTTGTTCTTCAGTTCCTTGAGCTTCTTTAGAATCTTCAAATACAACAACTTACTATTGGGCCAGTAGGCAACATCTTGATAGATGGAGAAAGGATTGAGACTGTCAACAACTTCATCTTACTTGGACCCACAGTCAGTATACTTGGCACTAGTAGTCAGGAAATGAGGAGACATATTGCCCTTGGAAAGTCTGCAGTCAGGACCTCTTCAAATTATTGAAGAGTAGTAATGGTAGTTGGAGGACTAAGGTGCACTTTATTCAGACCACAGTCTTTTCAGTCAGTTGCTGTGTTGCTGAATAAGGATGACAGATGATTGCCTTTGAAATGGGGTTTTGGAGAAGAGTACTGAACATCCCATGGACTGGCAAAAGAACGAACTGATAAGTATTCAAGAAAGTGCAGCCAGAGTGCCCCTTTGAGGCAAAGATAATAATACTTTATCTCATATACTTAGGGCATGTTGCTAGAAGAAGTTATTATTCCTTGGAGAGGAACATCATGCTTAGAATGGTGGAAGGATGGAGAAATAAGTGGACCCTCAGCCATGACTGCAGCAATGAGGTCAAGTGTGTAATAGATTGTGAGGATGGAACAGACTTCAGATTTATTCTTCATAGGATGAATAGGTCATGCTCTACTTAATTGCACCTCCAGTACTGATGCTACATTTTTCTTCTTGAAGTCTGGTTTCTCAAATTATTTGTTCACCATAGAGTTGGAATAGTTGTGGAGAAAAGATACAGCCCTTATGCACACTTTTCTTGATTTTGTAACCATGCAGTGTTCCCTTGCTCTGTTTGGACAGCAACCCCTTGGTCTAGGTTTCGTCTGAACAGAACTAAGTGTTCTGGGATTCCCATTCTTCTCAACGTTAGCCATAATTTGTTATGGCACACATATTCCGGTGCCTTTGCCTAGTCAATAAAACACAGATAAACGTCCTTTTGGTGCTCTCTGTTTTCTGCCAAGATCTGTGTGACATCAGCAGTGATATCCCTGGTGCCACAGCCTCTTCGAAGTCCTGCTTGAATTTCTGACAGTTCAATATACTGCTCTAGGCATATTTTGCTTTCATGTGATATTATAATGATAATTGTTTGATAATTTCTACATTCTGTTGGATTCCCTTTTTTTTAAAAGGAATAAGAATAACTAGGCATCTTTTTCAGTCAGTAGGCCAGGTAGCTGTTTTCCAGATTTTCTAGCACAGCCTGATGAGCATGTCCAGGCCTGCATCTGTTTGTTGGAATATGTCAGCTGATATTCCATCAATTCCTGGTGCAACTTGAACTTCTTCCTTTATTTCCATTTGTTCTTATTCATTCACTGTTTCCTGAAGTGTTTCTATGTCATGCAGTTCTCTTTGGCACTCTTGTATTCTTATGCTTCCTGGATCATTGAAGATTTTGCCCATGGCAAGTTTGAAGTTGTTTTCATTTCTTTCAACTTAAGAAATGCTGAATGAGTTCTTTGCTTTTGATTTTCTAACTGGAAACACTTGCTACAGAATATCAAAGACTGTGATCATCAATATATATTACACCTCAGCATGAAGAAACAGAAATATTCATCACCAAGCCAGTAGGCAACAGTATGATAGAGTGTAAACAATATAGAAATTGTCAATGATTTAATCTTACTTGGATCCACAGTCCTTGATACCAGCAGTCAAGAAATTAAAAGATGACTCATACTCTGAAAATCTGCTGTCACAAATCTCACCTGAGTTCTAAAGAGCAATTTTTTTAAACTTAAAGACTAAGGTGTGCCTAACGCAAGTCATGGTCTTCTCAGTTGCTCGCTGTGCATCTAAAAGGTGGACAATGACTGAGGATGACAGAAGAATCAATGACTTGTGTTGTGGAATTGGAGAAGAGTACTGAATATCCCACAGAATGATAGAACAAACATTTCTCTTGGAGAAAGTGAAACTAGAGTGCTTTTTAGAAGCAAGTATGGTGAAACTTTATCTCACATACTTTAGGCATGTTGTTATGAAGGGCCAGTCCTTGAATCATCATGCTTAGAAAAATGGAAGGTCAGCATAAGAAAGCAAGGCCTTCAGCAAGATGTATTGACACAATAACTGCAGCAGTGGGCTCTGAAATGATGAGAATGTTACAGGATAAGACAGTTTTCACATCAGTTTTTCATAGGGTCATACTCAGTGCAAAGGCACATAGTGATAACAACAGTCTGTTGGATGAATTAGAAGTAGCAGATTTTTTAAAAATTTTTAAATGCATGTATTAAAACATGGGGAAGATCTTAATGAGAAATAGCAGAAAGAAATGACAGCTGTGTCTTAAATACACAAAAGGCACAGGAACATGAAATCAAGGTTTCAAAAACCCTCAAGAAAAAATTCATGTCTGGGCTTGTATTAAAGTTCATTTTCCTATAATATAATGAAGAAAGCAAAGCAACTTATATAAAAATTTTCATTTCTATTGTAGTTAATGTGTTGCTACATAACAGAATACCCTAAAAATCAGTAGTCTCTATAATGCTAAATAAGAGACTGTTACACACCTGTTCCAGCTTACTTTCATATTCTAAAGATGCAGTTAAGAATGAATCTCATTTATAACCTCCAGACCACCTGTGTTTAAATGAGTAACAGTAATGATCAGTTGTGTACATGCAAGAGAAGAGTGAGAATCCAATAGTAATGAAAGCAGGGAGCTGTAGTGGCTTGCTGGGTAGAAGAATCGAGCAGCTACTATGTGGCCCCTCCGTGGTGGTTGAAATCCAGCAAGGAGTCCAAGCGAGAAGGGTGAACAATCCTTCCATGTGTTGCACAGCCTCTGAAACCCCTCTAGAGGGTCGCTTGTGATTTGGTTCTGACATCACAGCAGTAAGTTTGAGGAAAGTTTTTTGTTTGTTTGTTTGTTTAATAAAATGAGTGTAGTTTCCTATATGTGAAATTAATAAGATAATAATTATCAAGTCATTGATCCTGTTTGACCATTTGCATTGCTTTAAACCCATTTGACGACCCAGAAATTAACTTTTTAAATGCTTCTCTAAAATTACCAAAGTGGAACTAATCATCACTCAGCTATTAACAGAAAGACTGGGAGACTAAACCTACCCAAGGACACCTCAGAAAAATGCTTGTTAGTCCCCTTCCAAAAGATCCCAGCCATTGAAAACCTCCAGCACACAGGCTAATTGTGTAGCCATGAGTCAGAAAAACTCAGTGATAACTGGTGTTTTAATTTTTACTGTCATATTAATAATAAGTCATGCAAAAATTAAGTCTTGCCTTTTCAGATTTTACATTCTGAATTTATGAACTTTCTTTTTCCATCTACTAGGTTAATGGTACCGATGCAGATTATGAATATGAAGAAATCACACTTGAAAGGGTAAAAACTATTCATTATCATAAGTTGTTATGCATCAATCTGTCTTAAGTATACTGCTCTTTCACATGGAATTCAAGAGAAATCTTTTTTGAAAGAATTATGTAATATATGTTACAGATAAGAAAATAGTTGTATTTTTAGAATGTGTTATTTTGCTGTAAGAACTTTTTTAAATACACTTTTTCTTTTTAAATAGTATTAGCTTTATAGAAAAGTTATATAGAACAGAGTTCCCATCTTACCTTGGCCTCTGTTTCCCCTATTGTTGACATCTTACATCATTATATACCTACTTAGCACTTATTGGCTGTTTTGTTATCTGACATTTCACATTCACAAAAATATTGTAAGATCTACTATCCACTTGTTTTCACATTGGTGATGAATATCTGACAATAATGAACACTGAGGTGTGAGGCAAGAGGGCTGTGATGGTTAAAGCATGTGTCCACTTAGCTGGCCACAGTTCTCAGGCAGTCCTCTTCTGTTTTGTGATCTGATGTCATCATCTTCCATTTTCACACAACAACATGGTCTTTGTAAACTAACCATGCCAATAAATGAAGAGTGGGTATAGATAACATCACTATTGATCTATTATTAACTATATCTTTTATTAAGATTTTCTTAGTTTTACCTAAATACTTTTTTGTGTTCCAGAATCCAATTCAGGATTCTATATAATTAGACAAGACTATAAAAAACGGGAATTCTGGTGGCTTATTGGTAAGGAATTGCGCTGCCAACTCAGGAGGACACAGTTTTTAACCATCATTTGTTCTACAAAAGAAGAATGGGCAGTTGCCTCCCATTTAATTTGCAACTTCTGAAAACCTGGAGATCAGCTGTGAGTCAGCTCTGAATGGATAGTACACAACAACCAAAATAGAACTTTAAGGTTATGATAGAAGATAACCTTATGTACATCTTATATTAGAATATAATTTAAAGAGTACGAATTTAGATTAATTGTTTTGTTAAGGTACATTATTAAGAATATCCTCTTAGATTCTTTTTTATATATTCAGGGATTTTTTTATTGGTATGTACTTTCATTTTACTTGGAGTAGCTCAGGTGGGACTCCATTCTATACTGCATTTTATTAATGGCCAACCATGTTTGGCCAGTATTTTTGAGACATATTCCACAGAATATCACAGGAAATTGACTATCTCTGTATTTATACTGGGAGTTCTAGTGGTGTGATAGTAAGGAGTTGCACTGCCAACGCAAAAGTACATGGTTCACATCTACCTTCTAAAGGAGAAGGATGAGTGGTAGTCTTCCCCAGCCCCACCCCCATGTGACATACTGCCTCTGAAAACCTGCTAGAGGGTCAGCTATGGGTCATTTCTGACTAAACAACAATATATAAAACAAAAATCCTAGATAATTATCTTTGAAGTAAAAAAAAAATGGGCTAAATGACTATCTATAGGCTGAACAGATTTTTGTACATGTCCTAAATTTTAAGTTACTTTTCAGCAAAAGCATTATTAATGTGTTGTACATGTTTTAAAACAGTGTTTTGTGACAAGTATTGTTGTATCTTTTTTTTTCCACAGTGTTTTTTTCCTTTCATTTAGTCAGAACAGTGAATGAATACCTGAGAAATTTGATGGCCTCATATAATTTGTTGACACTATTCTTGAGGCTCTTGTAACTCATTAGGGAACTCTACATGGCCCTAGTGGTAAGGAGTTGCGCTAAGTTGCACATAGTTGGAATCGACCAGGTGCTGTGTAAAATGAAGTCTTTGAGAACTTCGTTCTTTTCTCCATTTAGCTTTTTCCTCATCTGTCATATTGTTGTTGCCTGTTGGTCCAGTAGTGAAAGTTTTTGTTTCCTTGATGTTGAGTTATAATTCAGATTGAAGGATGTAGAGACTTCTGCGCTGAGTGTTTCAAGTTATCTCTTACTTCAAGCAAGATTGTATCATTTGCATAGCGCAGATTATTGAAGGGTCTTTTTCCTTTACTGATCCCGTATTCTTCATGTAGTTCCACTTCTCAAATTATTGCTCAGCATACAGATCAAATAGATATGGAGAAAGGATATAACCCTGATGCACACTATTGCTAATTTAAACCATGCAGTGTTCCTTAGTTTTGTTTGGACAGTTGCTTCTTGGTCTGTGTATAGGTTTCACATCATTACATATTCTGTCCTGGGTGAATGAGAGTGGTCAGTTTTCTTGCTTAAGTGTTTGAGAATTTTACATATATAAAATTACATCATCTGCAAATAGACATAGTTTTACTTCCTTATTGCCAATTTCAATACTTTTTGTTTCTTTTTCATAACTTGAATGCTCAAATGACTTCATACAATATTTAATAGGAGTGATGGTAAAGGACAGTGTGGCTCATTTACCATTGGCAAGAGAATGCCTTCAGCATCTCTCTACTAAATGTAAAGTTGGCTGTTTGTTTGCTATATATATGCATGCTTCTGATTATTTGGAAAAATTTCCTTTCTATTCCTAATTTGTTGAAGTTTTTATCCTGAAAAAGTGGTACATTTTGTTACATGTTTTTCCAGCATATATTGATATGATCATGTTTTTTTCCTTCTTTTATTGATGTGTGCTGGATTACATGGATTGGTTTTCTAATGTTGCTTCATCCTTCCGTACTTCGTGAGATATGGAATCCATTTAATCATGAAGAATGGTTTGGGGTTTTTTCCCCCCTATGGTGTTGATCAAACCGGGCTGCTCCTTGGAGGCAAGGATTCTAAGGCTCCGTCTGACATACTTTGGACATATTGCAAGGAGGGACAGGTCCTTGGAGAGGGACATCATGCTTGGTAGGGTGGAGGGACAGCGCAGAAGGGGAAGGCCCCTATAATATGGATTGTTTCAGTGACTGGGGTAATTGGGATGGGTGTGTCGGAGACAGTGCGATTGGCACATGACAGAGCAGAGTTTAGGGCTGTTGTACATAGGGTCACTATGAGTCGCAAGCGACTCGATGTCACATAACAACAACAACAGCATGGTGTTGATTCATTCTGTGGATTAGTTTTTTATTGAGAATTTCTTCATCTGTGTTAATGACAGATACAGGTTTATAATTTTCTTTTTAAGTCACCTGGATTTGGCTATGATTTTTTCATAGAGTAAATTAAAAACAATTCTTTTTCTGTCTTCTATAATAGTTTGCATAGAATTGGTATCAGACCTTTACTAAATTATTTGGCAGAATTCAGGTGATGTGTTCTGGGCCAAGATTAAAGTTTTTGTTAGTGTTTATTCTTATGGTCTGTTCAAGTACTTCTTTCATAATGAATGTTGACGTTGTCTACCTCTATATCTCTGTTTATCTGAGTTTTTCCAAAATATGTCTCTCTCCTTTGTTTTCAGATTGGTTGTAGTGTGGTTTCTCATAATATTTTCTTATTAGCCTATTTATTTTTGTTTGTTGTGATGTCATGCATTTCATTCCATATTAGTGTTATTTGCACCTTTTCCCTCCTTTGTTAGATTTTCCAGGATCTTGGCAACTTTAAGTCTTTGCAGTTTTTTATTTCTTTTCTATTTTTCTTTTTTTTTTCTTTTCTATTTTTCTGTTTTCTATTTATTTCTGTTCTTTATTAATCTCTTCTAGAGACTGTAGGCTTCCTTGATAGTCTTTTCTTAATTGTCAGAAGTGTTGGGTTAAGATGTTGATACTGATTCCTTCTTTTCTGGTGTGTAGAGTTTTTGCTGTAAATTGACACCTGAGTATTGCTTGTAGTATGTCCCAAAGACTGGTTTGTTGGGTTTTCATCTAAATTTCTATGAAGAATTGTTACTTCTTTTTAAAAAAATATATTCTGTTACCCACATAGTATTTAAGCAGGATCCTCTTTGATTTTTCCCTGTTGAATCTATTGTTAATTTTTCCATTGTATAGCAGTGTGATCTACAGAGATACTTTGTAATACTTTTTTTTTTACTTTATTGAGACTAACTTTGTGATCTAACAGGGGTCTGTTTTGGAGAATGTTCCATTTGTGCTGCAGAAGAATATATATTGTGTTCTTTTTGGGTGGAGAATGTTGAGTGTTTTTCTGGTTAGTTTGTACATCAACAGTGATGTATTGAAGTCCCCTGCTATTGTGGAGTTGTCTGTCTCACTCTTCAGATCTGTTAATGTTGTATTTCAGTCTCCTGAGAGACTATCATTGAGTATGTAGATATTAATTATACTCAGATTCTAATGCCCTTTGTTTTATGCTGTTTTTTGTCTTAAAGACTGTCTTATCTGAGATTAATATTATTGGCTGTTTTCTAATTTCCATTGGCTTGTTGAATTTTAGTCTGTCTTTGTCATTGTATTTAAACTATATCTCTTTTTATTTTTTTTTATTGTTATTAAACTGTATCTCTTAAAGCGAACATATTGGGGGGTCGTTTTTTTTATCCATTCTGTTACTTTTTTCTCTTGTGCATTAAATCTATTCTAATTCAGTATCATTATCTATAGATGTAATTATGGATAAGTATGGTTTTATTGCTGTTATTTTGTTATTCCCTAGTTTGATGTGCTGATTCCCTTATTCCGTCTGCTTTTCTATGCCACCTTCCTTTGTTGTTGTTGTTTTTAAATTATGGCATTCCTTATAATTATGTTTATTGCTGTTTGCTCTGTTATTTTCAAAGTCTTTATTGTTTTCCATTTTTTTACTTTGATGAGAAAGTTTGCTAATTTCTTAAAATTACCATGTGAGTTACTATTTTATTCCCAAATCTAAAACCATTCATTTTTACCTTGAAATCTCCTTAATATCTCGTCACCTAGAAGTTTTGTAACTACACTTGTTATTCTGTCCTCTGCATTTAGTTGCCCTCATTCACATAGTGATGCCAGTGGGTCTCTATTTCTAATGTCATGTACTTGATGTATTTCTGTGTCCAGGTTTGTTTCTGAATTATATCAGTTAATAGTGATTTTGGTTTGTTGTTATTCTTGACTCTAGGAGGAAAATGCTCCCTTTAGGTTTTCTTGGGTAATTGGTCTAATTTTCATGATTTCCCTTAGTTTTTGTTCATATGGACATGCCCTAATTTCACCATCATATTTAATGAATAATTTCTTAGAAATTATTTCAAGAAAATATTCAAAAATATTTCAAGAAAATCTTGAATTTTCTCTCCTTTGAAAATTTTATTACTGTCATCCTACTGTGTGTGCCCTTCCCCTCTGCCTGGTTTCTGCTGAGATCTAAGTTTCTCCTTTTTATCTTTAGTAGGCAGACTCTTCATTTTTGCAAAATGTTCTTTTTTGGATAATTTGATGGTGGAATATCTTAATGTTTTTCTTTGGGGGTTTGCTCAACTTCTTAAAAGCATGTTTTTGTGTGTTTCATAATACTTGAAAAGTTTCCTAGTAGCAAGTCTTCTGTTTTCTTTGTGCTTTTTCATTCTCTTCTTGTTTAGGAATTTCAAGCTGCATTAGTTACTCCTTATGATGCTTTCTACAGAATTCTTGCCCTTTTTTGTTGTTGTTGTTGTTGTTGTTGTTGTTGTTGTCTTCTGTCAGTTTGGTGTTAATGAACTCATCCTCCTGTCACTAATTCTGTATTCTGATTTTTCCTTTCTTCTCTTTTGTCTTTCCAAAGTATTCTTTGTCTAATTACTATTTTAGTCTTAATATTTTGGATTTCAGTTTGGTATTTTTTTTATTGTTTCTGAGCTTTCATGTATCTGTTTGATATTGCAAAACTACTGTATTATTTTTAAAATTTTGTGTATGTTTCCTCAATCTGTAGAAGACATTTAACTGTCATTTTGAATTCTTTATCAGGAAATCCCAGGGGCCTTTCTTTCCTCTGAAAAATGTATCGATTCTACATTTTGGTCATGTTTTTGTTCGGTCTTTTACTGATTTTGAGGGAACTGCCATCTGTCTGGTCAGCCATGTTTCCCAGAAGTCTGAGACTAGTAACTCATTTGAGATGGGAAAGAATATGCTTGGAAAAAAATTATTTCAAGAATTTAATTTAGGATAAATCATGGTCCAGTGGATATTTAGACTATTGAATAGTCCTGGTTATGTAATAAGTTTAGATATTATCTACTTATGCTTTTTATGTCGCATGAAAGTCAGAACTTTTTCTTGAGGATAAAAAGTATACAATTGCAGAGAAAAATTATCTTTAAACATTTTTGTAACAACTTTTTTCAGAGAAAATTATAAATTGTGTATATAGAAGAAATGTAGAGCTGTTCTGGATCAGTGTACTGCCAAGAAAGCTAATCATGGCTTTAAGATAGATTTCAGTATGGAAAAAATTTTGATTTTAGTTTTGAAATATATTAGGTAAATAAGCTCGGAATAGATAATAACTGTGACTTAGCATCTACAGTTTGATTGTTTTTAAAAATACTGGTGACAAAAGCAAACTGAAATAATAGTTTTACCTACCAATACATAATTACTCAGTAATTGCCATCAAGATGGAACCAACTCATTACTAACCTTCTGCTGGATATTTGATGATGTAAGTCTCACAGAAAGAGATTGTCTTTCTCCTATAGAGATGCTGGTTGATTGGAACCGCCAGAGAAGAGTGTCCTTTAGATTAGCAGTATAACTCCCTAAGGACTAAGCCATCACCACTCCCTCAAGAAATAACAACAGGTCATGGGGATTTTTTAGGAGAGATTTGTCATACTAATCATAGTATGTTCAGTATAAAAGAAAATTAAGCTAGCTTTGCAATCAAAGGATTTTTTTTAAAGAATCTTAGACTCGACTTTAAAAGAACTCAGTACATTTTCTTCAACCTTACCAGTCTCAGCAATAGTGCTGCTAAATTCTTCAGAAAGAAACAGCTTTTCCTTATGTAAGGGCATGTCTAGTTCTTAATTTAAAAATCTTCATATTTCTCACATGTATATTCATATGTCCCTGTGTTAGTTCATATTTTGGCCTTATAATGACAGAAAACCATCAGGAAAGAGAATTCCTCTTATGCTTTGGTGTGTTGATACCTTAAATATATAAAGTCCATATATTGTTTTCATAATTGTATGCAGTTTTAAATTTATTCCTTTTTCTCTTTCCAAACTCCATCTTAGAATTTTCTTTTCCTCTATCCCCAGGGGAATTCAGGGCTTGGCTTTAGCATTGCAGGAGGTACAGACAACCCACACATTGGAGATGACTCAAGTATTTTCATTACCAAAATTATTGCAGGGGGAGCAGCTGCCCAGGATGGAAGGTTGAGGTATGTTTTACATTTTATTTGTCACACTGAAACCGCATTGTATATTTTTCTTAAAGTAAACTGGATGTGTAGGATAAATACAAAGAAGAAACTATATTAGTAACTAACATATGGTGGATACTTAAACAACATTCATTCAAGTGAATGAATGAGATAATTATGCTCTAACCTGGTTTCTCTTCTTTTAGGAATTCAACATATTTAATAATCTTGGTTGCTAGCTTAAATGTTTGTGAGCAGATTTGTAAAATTGTTAGGTACCTTCCCAGAATGTTTTTTGTTTGTTTGTTTTTCTTCCTTTCAGAAACATTTATACAAATGTAAAGAAAGGGAGAGTGTATCTGAGTTTGTATCCCATACCAAGAAAAATAGAATATGAGCAAACTTTAAAAAAGATAAATTTTCTTACTTAAAGATCTGTGTACATCCTTGGAATCAACTCATAATTGACCCTCCATTTGATTTCCAAAGTTGTAAATCGCATTATGCTAATGGTAGATTTGCACAGCCAGAGAGGCATGGTCCTTGGACAGTACAGCTCTGTGAGCTGTGCTAACCAGAGCACACTCTGTTGTTGTTGTTATTGATTGCCGTCAAGTTCAGCACAACTCATAGCAACCCTATGAACAAAAAAGCCTTGAAGCCATTCTACAATTATCATTTCTCCAAGTTCGTAGAGTTTTCAGAGGCATGTTGTTTAGGAACTGGATGCCACTCTTGCTTCCAAACCTGTCTTAAACTGGGAGCTCTTCCAAACACTGTCCACCATGGGCACCCATTATGGCATTTGACCCCCAGTGGCACAAGAAGGTTCAGCATCACAGCAAACCCAGATTATCTCATTTCAGCAAACTGGCAGAGGAGTGCTGTACAACTTAGAAGAATATATATAGTCCTATATATAGACCCTATGAATAAAAGGCCTGAAGCCTTTCTATAACTATAATAGTTTCTCCAAGTTCTTAGAGTTTCCAGAGGCATGTGGTTTAGGAAATGGATGCCACTCCTACTTTCAAACTTGAATCAATCTTGAATCAGTCTGAGAGCTCCACCAAACATTGCCCACGATGGTTAGCCATTATGGTGTCTGGCACACCTGTGGCACAGTTCTTTCATCATGGCATTTGAAAACCAAATAGCACAAGCTTCAGTGTCACAGCAAACCCCAATTACCTCAGCACAGCAAATTGGCCAGAGTGCTGTATGACTTAAAAGAATGTTCCTCCAAAATACAGTAACAAGGGATTATCCCTCTGGCCGAACTTTTAAGTATAAGGGCCCCTCAGGAGGTCTTGTTGACTCTAAACAAGAGGCTTAAATAAAAATAACCAAACAATCCACACAGATCCTCATCCAAAAACAAGAACACTGTCTTACAGACTCCATCCAGTTCCAAAATGGAGACAAGGACTTTGGCATCGTTATATGTTGTTGAGTGCCATCTAGTACCAACCCTATAAACAAAAACACTGTTACCCTCCTTCTAAGTTCATAGAGTTTCCACATGCATGTTTAGGAAGTGGATACCACTCCTGCTTCCAAGCCTGCCTTAATCAGTAGGCTCTAGCAAACATTGTCAAGTAGATGAAAATATTATGACTTATTAAATTTAGTTTTACAATTTAGAAGATTTTGTAGAGTATTATTACCTTAGGTAATACCACTTTAGTACTTTTCCTGTTTCCTTGTTTATTTTATAAGACAGCAGTCTGACCATTTTAAGGTTAAGGGCTTATATGGTCTGTTTAAATAAGCAACCTATTTTAAAATTCTTGGCACCTTAAGTAGCTTTCAGTTTCTTTAGTTCTCACTAAATGTGATAGGTAGTAAATTAATTAGATGTAAGAATGAGTAATTTGATCATTCATGTGAATGTTAACATTTACATCATATATCTGTCATTGTGTATTTGTGCCACTTATGTGAAATTACTGTTGTGTTCCATTTGTTCACAAAAATCATGACACTGACTTTTAAGAATTACTCTTGAATGTAGAATTTCTTTCCTCAAGGGGAAGTTAATTAGATATGCAAATTGTGAACCAAACCCTTTGAGGTAATTGATTACTAGGACTGTGTAGTATGAAAATACATACTAGGCCTGAAGTTTTATATATTTTAGTATTGTTGCATAATCTTGGTAGAGGAGAAATTAAAAAGGATTTCTTTTAAGAGTGATTTTACAAATAAAACTCTTTCCTGAGGGGGGCGGGAGAAAACTAGTTAGTATCAAATCTTATCTGAATAATTTCAGTTGTGTTTTGTTTCCTCATCTTGCCCAGTTTAAGGTGATGACCTAATTTTTTTTTTCTTAATGGAATGACACCTGGCAGTAGAAACTGGTAGGGGGAAAGGTTCAAGCTAAGCCAGGCTTTTAAAAATATGTTACCATGTCCAATTAAGGTAAGTTATTTCCACAGGAAACCTTTTAATTCAGTGGCCTAATTATTAATAAACTATGGTGGAGGGTCAGCTATGTGTTGGATTTGACAGCATATACCACCACAATTATTAATATGTATAAAAATTTTAAAAACCTTTATTCTTTTAGTTCTTCTCTGATGGCATAGTCCATAGGGAGTTGTGCTTGCTAACCCAAAGAACACTGGTGATTGATCCCCAGTGGCTCTCTAGGACGAAGATTGGCTCTCTGCCTGTGGGATTTACAGTCTCCAAAAACCCACTGGAGGGTCAACTTTGAGTCTGTTCCAACTCAGGTGGAGAAGGTACCAGTTTTGCCAGTTAACTAATTTGTCGTGTTAAACTAGTTAGTCTATCTGGGCTTCACTTGCCTTTTATTTTAATCATATCTCTGTTCCTTAGGTAGCTTTGGAAAAGTTAGGTAGACTTTGTGCATCATCTCTAGCTGGAATCTGGGAGTTTGCAAGCAACACACACACACACACACACACACGTTGCAAGCAAACACACACACCCACACCCCCTCCTTTACATACTGTTTTAATACACCAACAAAAAAGTCTTTATTATTTTTCCCCCTCAGAGTCAATGACTGTATATTGCGAGTAAATGAAGTAGATGTTCGTGATGTGACACATAGCAAAGCAGTTGAAGCGTTGAAGGAGGCAGGATCTATAGTACGATTATATGTAAAAAGACGGAAGCCAGTATCGGAAAAAATAATGGAAATAAAGCTCGTTAAAGGTCCTAAAGGTATGTGATAAATCAGACTAATTATCAAGGAAGAAATCTCAGAGTTATTTATAATACATGTTCTAAGCTGGACAGTACTGATGAGTTCTGCTGAATTTGTGAATATAGTTTTTGTATTATTTCTGCTGAATTGTAAGTAGAATGTCTGTATTGCTACTAAGATTACGGCCTTTTGAAAGTTTTTGTTAGTCTATATTCTTTACATGCTTTTTACTGCTGTGATCATAAATAAATTTTATTACTTATCAAGGTGGGGGTAAGACTGGAAAAAACTGGATAAATTGTATATACTGCACTGAAACAGATGAGGGACTGAATAATTTAAAAGCAATGTATGATAGGGTATTATGGTTATCACAAGAGTCCACAATTAAGGTTGCATAGTAGAATGTACTTGGGGAGGTGGGAGGGGTGTGGGGGGATTGTGTACCAGGGAGGGAGTCTTTCTTTTACTTTTGAAAGAGAGGAGCGAACTGGGGGGCGGGGGGGAGAGGGCTGGCGGGGACAGAAGTGCAGCAATGAATGAATGGAAATCCAAATTCTCTGTAAATGTTTTTTTTTATTTAAAATTTTGATGTTTTTATTAAGTGTGGTTGAGTACAATTCATAGTAGCCCTGTGAACAACCTATCAGAAAATTGTCCAGTCCTGGTCCATCCTCACAATCTCTGGCAGGGTCAAGCCCATTGCCTCAGTCACTGTGTCAGCCTACCTGGTTAAGGGACTTTCTCTCTTTCACTGCTCCTCCACCTTCCTAAGCATGATGTCCCTTTCCAAGGAATTAATTTTAATGTTGTTGTGTGTCATTGAATCAGAACTAAGTTGGACCGTACAACAGGTTTTCAGAGGCCGAATATTGCATAAGAAAAGATTGCCCAATTTTGTCCCTTGGAGCATCTGATGGATTCAGACTGCTTTCCTTTGCGTTGATAGTGCAACTCCTTACCACTAAACTGTCGCTTTTAAAAATAGGGTACAAAATCTACATGTTTGTAAGCCAGTTTGTTGCTCTTTTTATGACGTACCATTGTGTGAAAGACAGTTAACATTAAAAAAGCCTAAATATTCCTTGTCCTTGAACTTTGAAGTCAAGTACAGTGTTGATACTAACTTATAATCATCCTTCTACAAAATACCTTAAATGTAGTTCCACAGGCTAGTTTAAAAATCCAATATGGGTGTGGCTAGTTTCAAAGTATATATGGGTGTGTGAGGAGCAGTTTCTTCTCTAGTGAGGACTGTTAAGATGTGATCTCTGAATTGTAGTATTTAGAATAAATGGAAATATTTCTTTTAATATGAGGCATCAGGGGAGAGTTAGAATTCCCAAAGTTCAATAACAGCAAAAGAAACAAGAGACATGAGCATCTACTCAGTATTGAAAGCATGTTACTTATGAATTACAAGGATTCTTTAACAAGTTTGTAATTTGAAATATTAGAAAAAGAATAAAAATACCATTTCCAAAGCCTGTTCTGGTAGTAAACACTACCAGTGGATAATTTTCTCAATTATTTTAGTCTTCTGATGGTATGAAATAAGTTGCTAAGAAAAGCACTTATGGTTGAAGCAAAATTTTTTTCTCCATTATTTTACATTGTCTCTTTATACTTACACATTTGTCTATTTATGATGAGATTTCAGGACTTGGTAAATCAGTTTTATGTATGATGAATAATTTTTAGAAGTGTATAACTTTTGGTGTGTTTCTATTTATAATAGGGCACTCTGATGGCATAGGGATGGAATAGGGAGATGCCCAGAGGTAGTGTCTGTTCAACACCAGCACCTCCTTGAGAGAAAGAATGAGCAGTCTTCTCCTTTGCAGTTTACCACCTCTGAAAATTCTCTGGAGGGTCAGCTATGAATAGTTTCCAACATAGAGACAATGAATTTGAAAATTTATAATAGTGACTTGTTGCAGAATTTATAATAGTGTTTTAAAAGTTGATTGCTAAATAGATCAATTCCATTTTTAAGATGAATGTAATAAAAGTATCTCATTTTATTTTTACCCTGAGCTTAAGTTGACATTTAACATTGAAAATCTAAAACTACTGTTTTCCATGCAGGTCTTGGGTTCAGTATTGCTGGAGGTGTTGGAAATCAGCATATTCCTGGGGATAATAGTATCTATGTAACCAAAATCATTGAGGGAGGTGCAGCCCATAAAGATGGCAAACTTCAGATTGGAGATAAACTTTTAGCAGTAAGTATAAGCAGCCTTTTCATCTTTCTGATGCCTATTTTTTCCTAACAGACTTCAGAATTTCTGCATGATGTTATTAGGTGTCATTTAGTCAGTATGATGCAGAGTGACCTTCAGAGTGAACATCAGATTTGCACCTTGTTCTATCCACACACTTGAATCGGTTGCTACTGCCATCTCTGTATCATTCCATCTTGGGGAATGTCATGTTCTCCTTTGCCATCCCACCGCCTTTTCAAGCATGGTGGCCTTCTCCAGTGAATAGCCTCCCCTAAGACCATACCCAAAGTATTTGAGACAAAACTTCACTATCCTTGTCTCCAAGGAGCACTCTACTTACACTTTGTCTAAGACATATCTGTCTGTTCTGTTAGCAGCCCATGGGATATTGAGTACTCTTTTGCAGCACAACAGTTCAAAGGAATCAGTCACTCTTCTGTCATCCTTTTTCATTGTTCAGCTCTCAACAGCGTAGGAAGTGATTAAAAACACCCATGATCTGCATCAGGTGCATCTTCTCAAATTAACAACATTGTTCCTCAGTAATTTGGAGAGGTCCCTGACTTCAGATTTTCCCAATGCAGGACATCTTCTGACTGCTGATAACCAAGTGTATCAATTGGGGATCCAAGTAAGATAAAGTCAATGACAGTTTCAGTCTTTTCTCCATCTTATCTTTATGTTGCCTGTCAGTCCAATGTTGAGAATTTTTGTTTTCTTGTCGTTAAAATGCAGTTCATAATGAAGTCTGCAGTGTTTGATCTTCTCCTCCTCAGTCTCAGCAAGCAAGTTTGTGTCATCTCCATACCAAAAGAATAGTGACCCTGTGAACATCAGATGTCAACCCTGCCTTGTCCTCACAGTCTCTGACACATTTTAACCCATTGCTGCCATCACTGTATCAATTCACTTTGTAGAGGATCATCTCCTTCCCTGTCCCTCCACTTTTCCAAGCATGATTACCTGGAGCCCTGATGCCACATCCCTCTTTATAGCATCCAACTTCTTGAATAATTTGCTCAGCATACAGATTGAATAGAAATATAGAGAGGATATAGCTCCAGCACACACTTTTCTTCATTTTAAACCATGTAATGTTCCCTTGCTTGATAGGCACAACAGCGTCTAGGTATAGGTTTCACATGAGCACAGTTAACTGTTCTGGAATTCCTTTTCATTTTAATGTTAGCCATAATTTGTTAGGATCCACACAGTGAAACTGCCTTTCACTCATAAATAAAGCCCAGATAGACATTAGTCTGGTATTCTTGGCTTTCAGTCAGCAGCCATCTGACATTGCAGTAATATCCCTCATGCTATGACCTTGTTAGTACAACTTAGACTTCTGGCAAGTCCCTATCTGTGTACTGTTTTAGTCATTCTTTAAATGACGTTCAGCAGTCTTTTACTTGCATGTGATATTAGTGATATTGTTCAATAATTTCTGAATTTTCTGTATAGAAAATTTTCCATAATGAATATTAATCTGGAAAATGATTCTGGCTATGTTTCTATTTGCCACTTTCCTGCCTTCTCTCACTATTCCTCTCTCATTTGGTTGTTTTGGTTTTTTCCCCCCTTCTTTTTATTAACTATTGAATTGGGCGTGCCAATATATAGAATTTATCTCATAATTCTTTTATTGATTCATTATCATTAGACTCTTAATGAAAATTTGTTTTCACGTAATTCTTCTTTATGACATGAAAATTAGTTAACCCAGGCCAAGAATTAGAATTGTGTCTCTTTCCTTTGCTTTTAACATTTTGCCTAATTATATGTTAATGTTGTTGTTAGATACTGTCCAGTCAGAACAGACCCTTAGTTGACAGTCCAGTGAGTTTTTAACAGCAGTAAATCATACAGGGCATGATTGCTCCTCTTTATCCCACAGAGCAGCTAGTGGATTTGAACTGAGTAGCATTGGGTTGGCAGCCCACCTCCTTACCACTAGACTACCAGAACTCTACTTAATTATAAACATGTGCCAAAATATTTTGAGTGGCACTTGTTTTAAAAATTTCTTAAATTATTATGCTGTATGTTATCTTTTTATACTTTTTTAACGCAATATATCTTGTCCTTTTTACTCAAAGTTTTATAGAGGTTAGCCCTCTTTTTTCTTAGAGCTGCATGAACAGCATTTATTCATCTTTCAATCAGTAATTATTCACTTAGAACATGAAGAAAAGTTTTATGTTGTAGTTTAATTGGGAAATGTGATCCCAGCAATTCAAGAGTGAGTGAAAATGGATTGTGAGAAAGGGAATGATAGAAAACCAGTATAAGATTCTATATTCATGAGCTGCCTGTAATTCACAGTAAAATCTGGACAGTTTCTTAGTAAGACAGTCTTCAGGCAAGTAAATGATAGAGAACATTGGGATTTATGACCTGCCCTTTTTTAGTCTTTCGTCTCTTGTTAATCAGAATGTGCTACTTGGGGATTAACTGTGCATAATTTAGGCAAGTGTTAAGGAGGCCAGCTCCCACACACTGTGGCCCAGCACTTTACTTGAACCCCAAAAGAAAAGAACTAGAGCCTCAGTGACCTGAACAGGTCAGAAATGAGCTCCCAAGATGTTGCGCTCTCACAGTATGGAACATGTGCACCATGCTCTAAAACATCTTGAGAGAGCGGTCTCGTAAGAGACCAGGTGAGCGCAGTAGTAGCAGCTAGCCAAAGTGAAAAGCCAATGGTCTCAAGTGAATCTGAGGAAGCACATGAAGCTAATTTAGTATTGTGCAGAGTTGAGTTATATTTGAATTCATATTACTAGGAAAAGTTGCTATATTTTCTGGTGATCATGTACAAGGATTTCATTTGAATGTTTATCTAAGAGCAGAGTTGGGTCAATGGGTATGTTTTTAGTAACATAAATAAAATCCAGCTTTTTTCCAGACCACTTGTAAAAATTCATACATCAGCAATATCTCAAATGTTTCTTTTGTTTACACCTCTTATTGTAGCTTAAGAGGCAAACGGATTATTTTGAGCTAATGATGGGAAAGAGAACGGAGCAGACCTTGAAATAGTTTTTCTAAGTTTGCACACTACTCACTCTCCTCAAGCTGCAGCCCACTTCCAACACCCACTGTCATCCTCCTACACACACAGAGCAATTCCAAACAAGCTTTTGTCTCCATTGGATTTCTCTCTCTCTTTTTTTTTTAATTTCTTAAATGTTATGTTTTCCTTTATAGGTTCTCCATGAGGGTAGGGAACTGGTAAGCTGCAGATTAACCATATTGGCAAGCTTCTTAAAATCTACTTAGTAAAGCTTTTCTTACCATAACTCTTGAAATAGTTCAGTTCTTACCCACAGTCCAAATTAATTTATCAGGTACTTGACATACTTTTATCATTCTTCAAACATCATTCATTTTGCATAACAGTCACTCTTTACCTCATGCTGGGCTTGTATTCACTGGTCAATTCTCATTTTTCTTTACTGGTGCCTCCATATCTCCCTAACTTCTTTCATCTGGTCTCAAATAATCCACAATTTGACTATTTATAGTAGAAGTAAAACTTTCACTTGAGTGTGTCAAAATGGCAAATCTTTATACCCGTTGACTTAGCAGTTCTGTTTCTGAAGAAAGCTGTGTATATGTTATCCACAAAAAAGATGTTTACTTGGGTTTTATTGACTATGCCGGGGTATTCCACTGTATGAATCATAATACATGGTGGATAACAATAATTGGCATTATACGAAACATAAATTGAGAAGCAGTGTTTCAAATAGAATGGGGATACTGCATGGTATAAAATCTGGAATGGTGTTCATCAGGATTGTACATATTTCTCCATTCCTATTCAGTCTGGGTGCTGAGCAGATAATTTAAGAAGCTGGACTTCTGTGAGGAAGAATATGGCATCAAGATTAGAGGAAGACTCTTTAATAACTTCAGTTTTGCAGCTGACACAGCCTTGCTTGAAGAATATAAAGAACAGAGATTACAGTTTTCAGTATGGATTTTAAGCTCAGCATCAAGAAAACAAACATGATAGATGGAGAAAAGATCAAACTGTCAATTACTTCATCTTACTTGGATCCACAGTCTACATCCATGATAACAGCAGTCAGGAAATAAAATACACGCCACACTGAGGAAATCTGCTGTCAAGGACTTCTCCAGAGTGCTAAATAGCACGGACTTCAGTTTAAAGTACTGTGCTCCTGATCCAAGTCTTATTTTCAGTTGCTTCCTGTGCATCTGAAAGTTGGATAATGAATAAGGACAACAAAAGAAGAATCAGTACTTTTGAATTGTGATGTTGGAGAAGAATACTTTATGGACTTGAAAAAGAACAAACAAGTCTGTCTTGGAGGAAGTGTAATCAGGGTACTCCTCAGAGGCAAGGGTCATTGAAACTCCATCTCCTTTACCTTGGGCATGATGTCAGGAGAAACCAATCCCTGGAAAGACTACATGCTTGAAAAAGTAGAGTCCATGAAAGAGAGGAAGACTCTCAACAAGATGGATTGAAACAGTGACTGTGACAGTAAACTTGAGGGATTGTAAGGATGGTGTGAGATACAGCAAGGTTTTGAGCTTGACAACACCTTTATGAATTTCTCACTCATTGTCCTCGAGTCAGAATTAACTCATAGCTAGCTAATCCATTAGGTTTCCGAGGTTGTAAATGTCTAAATCCCGTGGGAAGAGATCACCCATCTTTTTCCCTTGGGGCTCCTGGTGGATTCAAACTGCCAAGAGAGGTGCAGCCATTTTTATTGTGTGCCGTTGCATCGCCTGCAACTCACAGTGACCCTGTGTATGTACATGAGCTCTGAACCCTGCCCTGTCCTGAGCCAGTCTCGTTGTTTCTGACAGACCTCATCCCATTTCTCCATTGACTGAGTCAATCTATCTTTTCCTGGGTCTTCCTCTCCTATGCTGTCCCTCTACCCTCCCAAGCACAGCAGTACAGTTTCCTATTGACTGTCACACCAGAGCTCCCTAGTGTCCATCTTAGCGAAGAAAATTGGATATTTTCTTTCTACACATACAGCAACTGAAAAGGAATTCTTTAAGTGGTCTTTGGGATTTTTCTTTTAGGTGAATAGTGTATGTTTAGAAGAAGTTACTCATGAAGAAGCAGTAACTGCCCTAAAGAACACATCTGATTATGTTTTCTTGAAAGTGGCAAAACCTACAAGTATGTATATGAATGATGGCTATGTACCTCCTGATATCACCAACTGTAAGTCTGCTTATATTTAAGCTCTTACCTTTATGCACTTTAATGAACAATTGTCACTGTAAAATTTAAGAACTATATAAAAATATTTTTAAGAGATAAACATATTAACCTAATAAGTAAAAATTTCTTTTAAATCAGAATTTTTATAGTTCTGTTTCCTCTTACCTATTTTGTAACAATATTTTCTTTTAGTATTAAACTCAATTGTAAATAATAGTCACTAAAGAGTATTTGCAAATAATGTAGCATCCTAATTTGTTTTGTTTTAGATGGAGCACAAATTTTTATTAAAATATGTAATTCTGATGTATCTGATACAGTTGAATCATGTACTGTATTTGAGAGACACTAAATTTTAAATATGTCTAAAACTTAAGGCTTTTCAGAATTCATGTGTAATACTTCTGTGGTCTTAGCTATATGAAAACAGAAGTTATCTTTCTCCTTCAAGCTCTTGGTTGATTGCCTAACTGTATTTGTGTAAAATTCAATTTTGTTGAGTAGAACTGAATTTATATTATTATAGTAAATAAATGCTTTTAAAGGGAGCAGTGATAACTTAGTGGCAAGGAATCCCACTGCCAACCCAAAGGCAGGAGGTTCTAATCCACCCTGGAGAGAGGCAGTCTCCTCTCATATAATTTACAGCCTCTGAAAACCTGCTGAAGGATCAGCTATGACTTGGTTCTGATTGACTCAGTGAAACACAGCGAAAGTTTCATTTTTTATTAGCAGAGTGGTGTTTTTCTTTTTATGTGCAAACTAAAAAATACTTAAATGTATGTTCAGGTATTTTGTGTTGGTTGAAAATGAAATCTTTTACTTGTTCTGTGCAATGATAATATTAAAAGTCATGTGTGAGATCTTAAATGTTATTGTTCATAATCTGCTTTTTGAAGTATTTGCTTTAGAATGTATAGAATTTTCGAAATACTGATGAGTATATATTTTGCATATAAATATATTATCAGTATTTCAGTTTTAAAACTCAAATTTCATTACCATCTCTAATCAGACTAATACAATATTTTGACATTTTTATATTATCCTCCAGTAATACATCTTTATTATCTGCTCGTTAGTTTATTAAATAATGTGAGTACATTATTTCTTTAATAGTATTCAGCTTCTCTAAGTAACAAGGATAGTGTCTATTTTTTATGTGTCAGAGGAAAATATTTTACTATTTAATTAACATTTTTATGTTCATTAATTTGTAGACTATAATGAAAGCTTTATGTTATTTGTGTTATATGCAGATTTACTAGTAATTTATTTATTTCCAATATCAATCTCATTTTGAGTTTTGTCTATATGTTTAAGAAAACCAAACACACAAACTTATTCTACAAATTGAGAATTGGTGCCCTAATTGCAGCCAAATACACAAATAGCTGGACTCCTGCTAACAGAACTGGCAAAAACTATTGCTTTTCTGTTGCATTGTCCCTTACATATATAAGAATATGGCATGAAAAATTGAAAGATTTAAAAAAAAAAAAAAGAAAAGTTGAAAGATTTAGTCTTGTGTAGTATTTAAGGAATCATATCAACCTTATACATAAGAGCAAAAGGGGGTCAAATCCTATGTCATCCTCATGATGATGACTGTGTGACTCCATCATTGTGGCAGTTGTGTCCATCCATCTCATTAGGATTTCCCTAGTTTTCACAGACTCTCTGTTTTAACATTTATGTTGTCCTTTTCTAGGAATTGGTTTTCTTTATGTTTCTAAAGTAAACAAGTTGAGGTCTGGCCATTCTCACTTCTTAGGAGCATTCTGGTTGTGTTTCTTTCCAAGACTTACTTGTTATTTTGACATTTCACCCCTGTTGACTTTTCTTCATCCGCATCTCAGTTCAAGTGTATCAGTAATTCTTGTCTTCATTTTTTTATTGCCCAGCTTTTATATATATATGAGCTGATTGATAGATCATAGGGTGCGATCAAGCACACCCTAGCCATATAAGTGATATCTTTACAGCAGATTTGTGCAGTCCAATAATACATCTCTTGATTTCTCTACTCCTACTTTTAGTTTCATAGACACTAGTAGTCAATCTGAATGGGATAAATTACTGACAACTCTGGCTTTTTAAATTATCATTCATCTTGATACTGTTTATCAGTTCAGTTGTGAGAGTTTTTGTTTTCTTCAGAATCAGGAATAATCTATACTATGAACTGTGATCATTGATCTTTACTAGTAAGTACTTTAAGTTGCCTTGCGTCTCAGTCACGATCCAGCAACATTCCATGTCTTCTTCTGAGTCTTGGGTAAACTTATAGGTTCAAGGTAGGTCCCTGCCACTGTACAGCTACAGTCATGTTCATTATCTTAAGCAGAATGTTGCTGCTGTTGTTTTTAGGTAAATCTATTTCATCATTTGTCTTCTCCTTTTCTTCCTCCTTTCTTATTGGCTAAACTCGACATTCATTCCACCTTAACTCTGCTGTCTTCTTCATATATGCTTTCAGAAAGGAAAACAATTACTCGAGTAAAGCACAGAATTTTACTGTTTACATAATGACCTTATGGTAGGGCCCCCTTATTGATCTGCAGTCCTGCATTTTCTTATCTAAGTCACTCTGTCCCTCAGAGATTTCTTTGTTCCTCTCAAACCTTTATTCAGTCATGACTTAATTTATATTTCATGGAATATATTTATATTCCAGAATACACCCTTACACTTTAAAGCTTATCTTCTTAGCTCTATGTTTACTTACATACTCTGCTTTCTTTCTCATTGTAATGGCTTAGCTACCACTGTTTCTAAGAATTGTTCTTCAGATTTTGCACTGTATCTTTTTTTATCCATAAATGGTCTTGGTCTTATCCACTATCTTTTTACTGAACAGTTACCATTAGTAACAAGTATGTTTTCATATTCTGTATTTTAAGCGATTGGGAGGAACCTTCTAAAACCCTTAGGCACCTTCCAGCTATTGTTCCTGTCTTTGCTTAGTATCCTAACTTTTGTATCCTAACATAGTATCCTAATTTTGATACGGGGGAAAAAAAGTTAATTTTTCAACCATGGAAAAAGCTTCTTTTTTTAAAGTAGAAAAATAGCAAGTGTCTATGAAAATATTTTTACATAAGAAATAGTGCAGAGGAATAAATAAACTATTTTACTGATAGCTCCTAAAGCAAGTTACCTAGAATTGCCTTACCATTATTTGAACTTTTGCTTTCATTTGAATTTCAATATTGGTTTGTCTTGTTCTCCACCCACTGATACACACAGAGAAAAAGAATGAACTTCTCCAAGATGTGTGCTAGAGAGAATTGACATATTTATCATTTTGGGTCTTTCTGTTCTTAAATGTAGTTAGGCTCCATTTATATGGTCTTATTTATATCTTTTAATATTTTTTCAAATTTACTTCATCAATTAAATTAAAATTTAAAAGATAGCCTTTTTTAACGTTGTTTGTTATTATGTGCCGTCGAGTCATTTGCGGCTCATAGTGACCCTTTGTCAAGAGCCCTAAACGCCGTTCTATCCTGTGCCAACCTCACTGTCTCAAACACATTTTTGTATAATGTATGTGCCCGTGTTTACATCTCCCTGATCAAAATATAAAACATATCTTTTGTCGTCGTTGTTGTTGTTGAGTCGCCTACAATCCATAATGACCCTGTATACAACCCCCATTGTCCCAGTCACTGTATCATTCCATCTCATTGGGGATCTTTTCTCCTGCACTGTCCCTCCACCTGTCCAAGCATGATGTCCTTCTCTAAGTACCGATCTCTCCTGGCCATGTGCCCAAAGTATGTGAGACAGAGCTTTTAAATACTAGCCTCCCAGGAGAAACTTGGTTTCACCTTCTCCAAGACAGACCTGTTTGTTTTCTTGGCAGTCCAAGGTATGTTCAAGACTCTTCTCCAGCACCACAATTCAAAGGCACCGATTCTTCTATCATTCTTTGTGATTGTCCAGCCTCTGATGCATAGCAAGTAATTAAGACCATGGCCTGGATTAGGCGAACCTCAGTCTCTAGACTGACAGTCATTGCCATATCTACCTTTTTCAGAAATCTCCATTAAGTCCTTTCTCAGTATAATATACTGAGAATATACTGGTTTGGTGTAATTGTGGGAGCTATACAGGATCATCTCATTGTCATTTTATTCCTTTTCCCTGATGATTAATGATACTTAGCACCTTTGAGTATTCTCAGTGACCTTTGACTGGCATCTCTTGTTAAATGTGTATTGCATTACTTTACCAGTTTTCTATTGTTTTATCTGCCTTTTTGTTACTGGCTTGAAGGAAGTTTTTTGTGCTTTAAGTGAATTTCGTCAGATATAGATGTAGATATATAGCAAATGTCTGTGTGGATCATAACAAATTATGGCTCACATTGAGAAGAATGAGAATTTCAGAACACTTAATTGTGCTTATGTGAAACCTATACTTCCACCAAGAGGCTGTTGTGTGAACAGAGTAAGGGAATTCTGCATGGTTTAAAATTAAGAAGAGTGTGCATCAGGGTTGTGTCCTTTCTCCATACCTGTTTAATCTCTATGCTGAACAAACTAATCAAGACACTGAACTCTATAAAGAGAAATGTGGCATCAGGATTGGGGAAAGATTCGTCTTTATTGTGCAGATAACATCACCTTGCTTGCTGAAAGTGAGGACTTGAAGCATTTGCTACAGAAGGGTTAAACACTGCAGCCGTCAGTATGGATTGCATCTCAACATCAAGAAGGCAAAAATTCTGACCATTAGAACGATAAGAAACATCATGATAGATGGGAAAAGATTCAAGTTGTCAACAACTCCATCTTATTTAGCTCCATAATTAATATGCTTAGTACTAGCAGTCAGGAGATCAAGAAACATAGGCACTAGGAAAGTTTATAGTCACGGACCTCTCCAGATTATTAAGGCATAGTCCTTAGATCATTGTGCTGCAAATCCAGAGGCGACACCTCTAAGGCAGGTTCGAATCCACCGGGAGCTCAGAGGGAGGAAGCTGGGCAATC